GCCTGTTGGCACCGCACAAGCAGCAGCACCCTTCCACCTCTTCCTCTCCTCCGCGCTCCGACTGTTTTCCGTGGCTCTGCAGAAACTCGGGCATCAGCCACTTTGGAAGCAGCCATGCGGCGCCGCTATCTGTGTGCTGCCGAGCTTTCTAATTAGGGTCCAATCCTGGATGGCTAGGATTTGTGACATCACCAGCGACACCTTCCAGCCCACACCCCTTCTTCACCCGTGTGTCCCCCTCTCCACAGGTCCGTTCTTCGCAGGGGTCATAGGTCAGCGCAGCAGAGTTTACCTGAGGGCACCGGAGAAAATTACACGTTGTGAGTTCGTCATCTTTACAAAGCACAAATGAAAAGATTTGTACCGTTATTGACAACAGGGCAGAGGCGGAGCAGCAGTTTTAAAAGTGCGGGGGTCCTGGGGGTGGCACATGAGCACTGCAACGACCTTTGGCCCCTGTTTCAGTCTCCAAAATGAATGCAATGCAGTTTGAGTTTTTTTCATAAGGATATGCAAATAAGGTTGCATTCAAAATGTACATTATTATGTACAGTATTATGACTCATTGACTTCCCTTCCTTATCCTACATAAAGAACTCAATGTAGTACTAATACCATAAGGTATTAATAAATGTTTCTGCAATTGATTATTATTTATTCAAGTTAAAACAGTTTATTGCTGTGTAATAATAATAATAATAAAAAAATCAGGTAAAGTAACTCTGCTGCATGGACTTTATTAAATGCTTATCAAACTCCCGCGGGCCATACAAAATGACTTTGGCGGGCTGCATATGGTCCCCAGGCCTTAGGTTTGACACATTATGTCAAATTTTCATTAACCTTATTTGGGATCATCACAGATATTGTCCTCCAACTATTACAATAAATTCATTTTTTTTCCCATTTTCTTAACCGTGTTTTATTTTTTTTTTGTTTTTGTTGACCAGGCTGTGCAGGGCTAAGTTCAGGTGCATGTTGGAGGGAGGCGCTATAGCACCGTCGGACACAGACAGACGCAGCCGGTTCAACCATAATAAAACACAGCAGATGTGCCGAGCCACTGACACACTCAGAGTGGCTTCGTCAAATTTTTTTTTTTCCTCTCGTCAACCTGGTTTGTTTAATTTATTATTTTTGCATTTCTGCCTGTGCACTTATTCACTGAAAGGAGGAAAAAAAAGGTTAGAAGAAAGTCAAAAAAGGCAGTTTTAGTTTTCATGTAAAAGCTGTTTCTTTCTTTAAAAAATACCTCGTGTGCACTCAGCAGCTCTCTCCTATTTTACTTATGAAAAAAAAAAAAAAAACAGTATTTTTGCAGACCAGAAACATTTCCTACTCCAAGAAAGAGAGAGAGCGAGACAGCGAGAGAGAGTGAGGTAGAGTGAGCGCATGTAGAGAGGTGATGGGGAGAGCAGGGCGAATGACACGACCAAGGAGGGCAGGGTCGTCCGCCAGGGCTGCAGACTGCCCTCAGGACACCCGCAAATATCCATGTAAATTGCAGTTTAAGAGAAATCAATACAAGTGACAAGTTGCCAATGCCACTATCCAGGGCAGTAATGAAGGTGTGCCGCCTGTTTTTTGGGGGGGAGGGGGGGCTATAGTCTACGTTGATAAAAGGAAACAGGCGGGCAGGTGCAGAGGTTAGAGGCCTGTGTATGTGCTGATGAAGAAAAAGCAAAGTCAGTGACACAGAGCACCACTGAAGGGTCACACTCTGTATTATCTATTCTCTCTAACTAAATATTTAGCCATTTAATTTTTTTTTTCTTTTTACTTCCACACAGGGAGTACCTCATGACTATATAAAGCAGTGGTCTCAAACATCCGGACTGGGGGCCACCTGCACCCTGCAAGGTGGCCCCCATCTAGCCCATGATGATAGCTGTCAATAATAATTTGTTTAAAGAAAAAACAGTTACATGAAAAAAGAAAATCATGTAAATCATCCAACAGTTGTTTTTTAAGTTCTTTTTTTTTACTCCTACTCTGTCAGAGACAAACAGATACATAATAACCAGTCATAATTATTACAGCTAAATATGTTTTACCTGATCCGGGAATCAATTACGAATTGTGAATTCCAACGATGCTAGGACATTAGCTGTACTGTCGAACGGTGGTTAAGTGGTACGGTACAAGAAACTATTCTAATATATGTTGAGTTTGTGCAGTGAGGTGATGAGTCAAGCCTGCTTTTCCTAAGCTCATTTGCTGCAGCACACTGTATGACAAATCACATGCAGGTCTACTGGCAGCAGAGCAGCATAAATTACAACCGAAGCAGTAACTAGAATATCGCACTCCAACAACAACCTTCAACATAATCTGGCCTCAAAGCAACGTCTGCAAATGCCAGCAGCAGGAGGTACAGTTGGCAAAAATGATAAATAAGTCAACGGACCTAGAATATCACTGTCCTGTTTGTGTCTCTCTTTTTCCTTTTTTACAGAACAAAATATTTAAAAAGAAGCGATTGGCAAAATATTGCGGAGCCAGGATGGACACATGGGCACACACAGGATGGCACAAACCCTTGCCATCCTGTTCTTGTTGAACGAGGGCAAACATTACTAACAACCACTGTCAGAGTTACTTGGTTAAACCAGATGCAATAAAGTTTTCCTTTCTCTATTTGATACAGCCAGCAAATGTAAACAAAGCCGCTTCCGCATATAGCACTATGTAACGATGTGTTTGCAAAATGTATTTTGCACGCCGTACGTGGGAATGATGAAACAAGACTTTCTTTATAATAGATTTAAAAGAGATGGCGACGTAACCACGAAACGCTGTAGGTCGAGGACGTCACAAAGCGAGGACTGCCTGTATTTTCTTGACGTTAGTTGTTACTTTGCATTTAATTTGAAATTCCACCTGTAGATTAGGGTCAATATTACAAGCTCAAAATTGACCAATAGAATGTGGACCTCACTGACAATGTTGGGAATTTGAAACACCCAAACATCGCTCTGCAAACTCTTGCCTCTTCACTCCTTTCAAGGTTGCATTCCACAGTCATATTTAAACTTTGAAAGTGACATTGAACGTCTAATTTTACAGCACATATAACTATAGCCAGAGGGGTAAATTCTTGCTGATGTACTGCCACCAATGTACCTTTTCTTCAGAAACAATCTGCTTTGGAGGACTTTTTTTTTTTTCTTTCATTTTCAACTTCACCCTATCCTGCTTTGGTGACACCCATTAATCACATTTGGTCTTTGCAAGGATTGTCTGCTAAGCGTAAGGTCTTGGCTG